GCCTGGGGGACTCTTGCCTTATCTCACCAGCTTGGGCAACCCCCAACCCCCATGGGGCAGGTGGGTTAGACTCACAGACAGCTGGCCCAGCTTCATACTCGGGTAGGCAACAAAAAGAGATGGCGTCAGGAGCCTTTCCTGGTCACTGGTTCTTCAGAGTTGGGGGTCTCTGGTCTGAGACATCTCACTCTGGATAGACCTTCCATTGGAGGAGGGGGTGGGCTGCTTCTGGGGAAGCAGTGTTTTATGGCATTCGTGTCTAGCTGAGGGCCCTGAGCCTGGCAGGGGAAGGGAGTCTGACCTTCCTGGTGACACTTGACTTCCTAAGCTCCAGACCTCAGGGGAAAGGAGTCTTATGTGTGATGCTCCTGGAAATATCTGTAGCTAAGGGAGATATCTTTCAGCCAAAACCAGGGAAAGAGCTGCTTGCTTCTTAGTGCCAATTTCCTCTGCTTCCCTTCAGCTATCCCTCATGTATCTGGCTGCCAGTCCCATCTGGACTACTCTTTTCTTCACTGTCACCACCCTGCTCAAAAATTTGCAATGACTCCCTTATTGCCTATGATCATTGGCAAGTAGCTTAACCTTTTGGGATCTTGATGCTCTCATTTTATAGAAGAAAGAGGTGCACTGGAAGGTTAGAGCTGCAGCTCTATTTGAGATTCTGTCCTTTTAGAAGATCAAGACAAACTCTCAATGATTCCATGAAAGATGCTTGTGACCCTGCCCACCCCATCGAATCAACTTCATATCCCAAACCCCTAAAGCCTGACTCTTCCCACCAACCAGGCTGCTCCCCTTTGACCTCAGACATCCAGCTCATGCCCATTTCTGTGCACTGTTTTATTCTGTTCTTTCCATCAAGAATGTCTGCTTTGTCTGTGCTCCAAAACTTGGTGCTAGAATTGTAGAGGGGTTAAGAATAGAAATTAATAAACCTGGTTTCTAGTCTCCACTTTACAACTTACTATCTGGGTAATTAATCTTAGGCAAATCTCTGTGCTTCAGTGCCTGCAGTGATAAAACAGAGGCCATGATAAATATAGGGTGAAGAGGCATGGCTGAGATAATGTATGCAGCAGGCAGAGCACAGATCCTGGCACACAGTGAGTGCTTGGTATTGGTATTGAGAGCTATTGATAAATAGCAATCATCCTGCAGTTTGTACAAAATCCTCCCCAGTCTTCTCTGCCTCTCCAGATTGTGTCTATCAACCTGGAGCCCACTCAAGCCACATCTCTGAACTGAAGGTTTCTCTGTCCCCTGAACTCAACTCCTTCCAGCTCTTGGTTCTGGGGCCTGGGTAGGTGCTCATTAGACTCTGCCTTGCAGAGCCATGATTTTATGTGTGTGCACCATCTTGCCATCTCATAAGTGACTTATGTTCTTAGAGAAGAGAGATCATAATTTTCATTTTTACTAAATTTGGAGATATTCAATAATTCCTTTTGAATTAAAGACTTCACATATCACCACAATGTTTTCCATTGCCCAAATCCTAGCTTCACACTGACATTCGTCAAGATGTGAGGGTCTCCCCACAATCAATATTGAGGATGGCCCATGCATTGTCAGTCATAGACCTCTTTAAAAACCTGCCAACTCAAAACTATAAAACTCTTATAAGAGAACATAGGGCAAAAACTACATGACATTGTATTTAGCAATGACTTCTTGAATATGACACCTTTTATTGTCACAGGTTACAAAATGAAAAACAGACAAACTAGACTGCAAGTTAAAAACTTTTGTATATCAAAGGACAGTATTAGAGTGAAAATGCACCCTATGGAATGGGAGAGAATATTTGCAAATCATAATCTGATAAAAGGTTAATACCCAGAATATTTAAAGAACTCTTATAATCCAACAACAACAACAACAAAAAAAACCAATTAAAAAATGGGCAAAAGACTTGAAGAAATATTTCTCTAAAGAAGATATACAGATGGCCAATAAGCAGATTGAGAGAGGTTCAGAAATAATAATCATCAGAGAAATGCAAAACACAGCCACAATAAAGTACACTTCACATCCATTAGGACAACTATTATCCCCCAAACAGAAAATGACAGGTGTTGGCAAACATGTGGGGAAATTGGAAATTCTGTGCTCTGATGATGGGAATATATATATATATATATATATATATATATATATATATATACACACACACACACACACTTATATATAATATATAACATATGGGCTTCCATGGTAGCTCAGCTGGTAAAGAATCTGCCTGCAATGCAGAAGACCCTGGTAAAATGACAGGTGTTGGCAAACATGTGGGGAAATGAGAGGTTCAGAAATAATAATCATCAGAGAAATGCAAAACACAGCCACAATAAAGTACACTTCACATCCATTAGGACAACTATTATCCCCCAAACCAAAAATGACAAGTGTTGGCAAACATGTCGGGAAATTGGAAATTCTGTGCTCTGATGATGGGAATACACACACACACACACACACACACACACATATATAATATATAACATATGGGCTTCCATGGTAGCTCAGCTGGTAAAGAATCTGCCTGCAATGCAGAAGACCCTGGTTTGACTCCTGGATTGGGAAGATCCCCTGAAGAAGGGATAGGCTACCCACTCTAGTATTCTTGGGGTTCCCTGGTAGATCAGATGGTAAAGAATCTGCCTGTAATGCGGGAGACCTGGGTTTGATCCCTGGATTGGGAAGATCCCCTGGAGGAGGGCATGGCAACCCACTCTGGTAATCTTGCCTGGAGAATCCCCAAGGACAGAACAGCCTGTCAAGCTATAGCTTATGGGGTTGCAAAGAGACACAACTGAGTGACTAGGCACACATATATAATATATATTATATATGTAATATATTAATGTAATATATAATTCATGGTATAGGTAGGTTCTGCACAAATTAAAAATAAATTAATATATGATTCATCAATTCCACTTCTGGGTATATACCTAATAAATAAATATGCATGAAATGTGTGCACACTATCTTGCCACCTCATAAGTGACTTACATTCTTAAAGAAGAAAGGTCTGCCTTAAAAAAGAAATCCTGTCACATGCTACAGCATGGTTGAAACTTGAGGACGTTATGCTAGGTGAAACAAGCCAGTCACCAAAGGATAAAGACTGTATGATTCCACTCATATGTGGTACCTAGAGTAGTTAAATTCATAGAGACAGAGAGTAGCATGCGGGTGGCCAGGGGCTGGGAGAGAGGAGAGTTATTTTTCAATGGATATCATGTTGCAGTTTGGGGAGAATAGAAAACCTTCTGGAGGTGGATAGTGGGTGACAGCTGCACAACAGTGTAAATGTGCTCAATGCCACTCAGCTATATTCTTGGGAGTGGTTAAAATAGTAAATATATGCCATGTATATTTTTCACACACACACACAAAACCTGGTAAAAGTTAAAGACCTTTCCCTAGGTGCACAGCTGTCCAAGGTGCAGAATTTTACCTTTCATTTCAGGGAGCTTGCAACCTTCTCAGGTTCATCCATGGATATATTTAACAACATCCAATGTTATGGTGGTGCTGGTGGTAAAGAACCCATCTGCCAATTCAAGAGATGTAGGAGATGTGGGTTCGATCCCTGGGTTGGGAAGATCCCCTGGAGGAGGTCACAGCAACCCACTCCAGCATTCTTACCTGGAGAATCCCATGGACAAGGGAGCCTGGCAGACTACAATCCATAGGGTTGCAAAGAGTCAGACATGACTGAAGTGACTTAGCGCATGCACACACACACACAAGGTTACAGTGAGGCATGTTGCATGAACTCTGAGACATTCTTTGGGTCCCCCAGTGGCAATCCCTGCCCACTTAGGCCCCCGTCAGCAGTGCTGGTCCCTGACTTCCAGATGATCTTCTTTGCAGGCCCACTAGGCCCCAGGGACAGGGGAAAAGGGGACAGTTTGTTATTATGTACAGCCTCCTCCTTAAAGGGACTCATGCTCTCATAGATTCCAATCTGCCCTCTCCTCTGAGAAACCGAGGGTTAGCATATAGCAGACACAGGCTCCACGTGGAGTGGTGGTGGCAGGATTGGGGGTTGGGGGGTGGTCCCATAGTAGAGCATCTTGAATGCCCCCTTCAGGGCACGGTCTCTCTCCAGATGCCCTTGGAATGCTCGTGGGCTAGTTCAGCTCTTCCCATGCTATTAGGCTACAGTCCTTCCCATCATCCTGCTGAAACTGCCTTGGTCATAGCCTGCAAAGGAGGAGCTGTTAAAAACTCTTCCATTTGTATTTCCTGCATGGCTCTCCATCTGGAAATATCTTTTATCTGGCAACTTTTGCAAAGTGAACTGAATCTTGAAGGAGGTCCTGGCAGGTTTATGCTGGCCTCTCCATCACTCCAATAAGTCATTTCCATCCTAACCTTCACCAGAGTCAAGGAATCGTGACTTGGTCCCAAAAACAGGACAAGCGAGGCATGGCAGCAAGCCTTCCCGCCCCTGAGGCAGCTCTTTAACCCTGAAAACACCCACTGGGAGGGCAAGAGTGAAATCTAGAAGATTATACTATATACACACTTTCTCAACTCAAACTTTACTTCAGCAGGAAAGCCCCCAGCCCCTCATGACTGTATTAGGACCCATCATTATATGACCCCACTCCCAAGTTTTTTGTTTTTAATATTTTTTCCTTTTTATTTATTTAAGTAGAGTTGATTTACAGTGCTATATTAGTTTCTGGTATACCACAAGGTGATTCAGTTTTTTTTTTTTCCCCCAGATTCTTTTCCATTACAGGTTATTATAAGATACTAAATAGTTCCCTGTGCTATTCAGTCAGGCTTTGCAGTTTATCTACTCATTGACAGTTTGGATCACAATGGATAATTCTACGTTTTGTGGTTGTTAAGTACTGTTGGGTTCCCCCAAACACTGCAGGCTCCTTCTGCGTTGGAACTGAATCCAAGAGCCTAGCCCAGCATGTATTAAGCACCCAATAATTACTTACTGAAGGAATGAATAAATAAAATGCTCTTACCTGCCTCTCCACCAGTTACTTCAAGTCCAGGGTTAAAAACAGCTTCTTTTCAGAGTCAGTGTTACTGAAAGAAAAGGAGAGGAACTCTCTGGCAGGTAGTTAGAAGTAGAATGGAGGGAGAAGGGGAAAGAGTTCTTTATCTTCAGTTAGGGAAATGTTTTCACAGGTCCCTGATAAACTAGGGACAAATACCTCCAGGGCTTTGCGATGGCCTGAGCGTCCTTGATAGTGTGGCTGGGTGGGGCAAGTTGAGCTTTGGCATCGGGGCAAAGGGATGGATTCTAACGGTTTCTTCACTGGTTGAAAAGGCTGCTTCCTGCCCAGCTTTTTTTTTTTTCCCTTCGTTATGTACCAGCTCAGCTTTTAACGTGGAGGAGTGGCCCCCTTCTCTAAGTGAGTAGGGGCCAGCAGCGCAGGAGCGGAGCTTACCGCTGCTGTTGAGCCTTTCAGCTGGGTGGGCCAGCTGTTCTGAGAAGGCAAGTGTCCTGTTTGAGCCTTATACTTTGCAAATCTCACGTCCCTCCAGGTCTCAGAAATCCCCCCATCCCTGCCCACTGAATTAGAAAGGCAAGTCGCCAGGCTCCCACTTGACAGGAGAGGAAATTAGGCCAGAGTCCTTCCAAACCTGAAACCTGCCTCAACTAGAGTGCCAGGGAATATATATTCACTGGACTCTGGCAGTCCTGCTCACAGGAAGGTCTTTTGAGAATTTATTTTTCAAGGGGAAGAGTTTCATTAGGCAAAAATCAACTAAAGGCTATATTCAATACCTCCTAAATGGTACTTGTTGGGTCTGTTTTTTGAAGATTATAATTAGGAGTAGATGGGCCCATTGTTGTAATTATTAGCTGCCTGTTATTGGGCATGCACTATGTGCCAGGAATTTTATATATTTTATCTTAGTTAATACTAATATAACCTGAGATGAGTAGTAGTAATACTTCAATTTAACAGATAAGGAAATTGAGAGTCACAGAAATTCAATAACTTGCTCAAGTCACACAAGTATGTAAGTAAGGAAATGGCTGTAAGGTCTTCTGACTCCGGACATTCACTCTTACCACGCTGTGCCTAGTCGCTCAGTCTCGTCTGACTCTTTGCAATCCCATGGACTGTAGCCCGCCAGGCTTCTCTGTACCTATAACTTTCTAGGCAAGAATACTGGAGTGAGTTGCCATTTCCTGCATTTGCTTGTTAACAACACACATTCTGGGGCCCACACCAAATCTACCAGATCAGAATCTCTTGGGGCCTCAGAAAGTCCCTGGCCACTCAACCTAAAGTTGCCTCCTCGCCAGACACTAACACAGCACTATTTTATTTTCATCACTGTACTGATCACGATCTGAGATCTTCTCACTTATGAATTTGCACATTTTCTTTCTTCCCCATTAAGTGACAAGTTCCACAAGTGTGCTGACAGCACAGCCAAAGTTTTATCTCCAGAATACTAAATAAGGGTAGTACCTAGTAAGTACTCAACATGTAATTATGGAATACATTATTAGACACTGTCCAAAGCACTGCGCTAAGGATGCTGACTTTGGAGACAGGTTAGGAGGAGCAGAATTGCAGTTGAGTACTAGTGTCTCCCAAGGCTATGGGGTGGGGAAATGTTGGGACACACGCCACATATTTGCCACATATTCCAGGAAAAGAAACTCAATCCTAAAAAAATTAAGTGCAAGATGACACAGCACATCAGTAGGCGAGCCAGGTAAAATGTTGTCCCTTCTCAAGGAACTTTATGTCTTACTTGGGAAGCCAAAGTGAATGCATATGTAATGGAGAACAGATATATGATTCACAACAAGGTGTTGAACAGAAATGGAATCGGATTAATTGGATTAAGGAGAAATTGGAGTGGAAATAGATGTGGAAGGTTTTCTGGAGGAAGCATTAATAGAAAGTGAGGTACCCTTGATGAATAAATACCTGGGTATTTCCTTTGTGTCAGACTTGTACTGTGGGCTTTATCTAGAGTGGGGTATTCACATCCCTTACAACACCCTAATGGAATAAGTATTGTGATCATAACTTTATGGATGGGGAAACTGAGTCACAGAAAGGCTAAGGAACTTGCTACAGGTCACAGAGCTGAGGAATGAGTAGGGATAAACAGCAGAGGTTTCAAAGCCTGTAGTCCTAAGCACCCAGTGAGTGAAGCAGGTGTGACTGGCAGGAAAGAGCCTGGGTAATGTCTGGGTGTGGGGTCAGGAGTTGGAGGTGTGGTTCTGGGGTAGTGATGGAATGAAGACAGGTTCAGATTTCCTTTCACTGGAATATTGTTATGATTTAACTTGACAACCTGTCTGCCATTCCCGCTTGTTTAAAGGCGTTGTCTGTCCAAACAAACACACCACCCCTTGGCTGTGATCACAAGTGACTCAAAGGTTTATTACCTAATCAGACATTGGCAACGTGAGGGGAAATCCCTAGGTGAGCAGCCCCCTGACAAGAGAACTCCCTAACCTCTTCAGGGAGAGAAAGCCTGGTCCTGGGGACGTTGATATAGGACAGGAGCCCACCTGCTGAAAAATGCCAGGAGGTGATGGAGAAGAGAGATTAATTTCAGGTGGTCTCTTATTAATATATTTGACTATGGGCTGTACTGACTTTACATAACCAGTTCAGTATGTGAGGTCCACTTTCTGGTGGGAGGGTCCCTAGAGCAGGTCATCCCAAGAGGCAGGAAACGTTCAGGAACCAGAGACTTCAAGGTACTTCATATAAAATTTGGTTTTGGTTTGATGGTGCATCTGCTGGGCTATTTAGATGACTTTGCCTGCATCGCTTATCCACACATAGCAGGAAATTCCCTTGAGGACACATACTCCTCCTCTTTGAGGGCACATATATTACAGTGGTAAGGTCATCTAGAGCTAGTCTGTCATCTGCCATCCTGGCAGTTAGGATTTTTGCCCTTCAATGAAAGTCTCAAGTGCTGCCACTGTTTATGTTACACCGTGAACGTCACAAGATTCTAATAGAACCTCAGACATTTCCTCTGCTGCGTCTGCCATAATACATTCCTTATGTAATCAGGCCCTTAGTCCCACTCCTCTAGCCTCAAGGTGTCACTTTTATATCTGGGGCCACGCAAAGGAAATGCTCACCATTTCTGCTGGGGATTGTGACCAGCAGGGTCCCCTCACGGGGTGGCTGGAAAAGGTTAAGAAAATCAGTGGAGTCAGCAGAGTGTGCGGGTGAGTTTAAGGAGTTGGGACATCGGGAGCGAGTTATCTAGTGGAGGGACACTGGAGGACCGGATTCCTTCTGTAGCTTCTAATCACTCACGTTCCTTTACTATCTGGGCCAGCGGAGAGCTCCCATCATGCTGTGTGGGCCTGGGAAGACACCAACACAGGCATGTGGATTTGAATGGTTACATGATCTGGACTCATGGGCCAGAGACCAAACTTGGTAACATTCAACCAATGTCCTGTTGGGTCCTGGGTAAGACAGAGCAAGACCTAGAGACCTAGACCAGTAGCATTAATATTAGTGGGTGTGGTGGGGGAGCCCTTTTTCATGAGTCTTGGGTCATCTGGCATGGTGTGAATAAGGAAGTGGCTTGCTCATAGGGGCCGAGTGTACCCAGTGACTGGGCCTCTGGGATATAGCCTTGATCATGTATACATACAGACTAGCTTGGAGATGGCCTTAAGCAGGAGGCTTGCTTTAGGAGGTTTCGGAGGGGAAGTTTTAGCCACAGTAGTAATGGGGTTTATTGTGCCCAATGGGGAGGAGAGGGTTAAGTTTGGAGGTCTGTCTGGTGTTCACCTCTTTTGAGTGGATGCTACATGCTGAGTGGGCTATCCCCTGAGGGGAAGATCCCTGTGTTCTGGCAGGGGCACCTTGGCAGATGATGTGGGTAACTGGGTAGCTATTCTCTGAGATGTGGCGGTTGTCTAGGATCAGGTCATCACCTGTAATGCTGTGATAGGCTCCCTGGGAAAGTGCAGTTCTTGACCCAGGTCATGGAAGCACAGGCTGATGTCAGAAAGGCTGTCACAAGGATGCCCTTGGTAGAAAGTGTGTTCAAGGGCACAAGTTGCTATGTGCTGGGCATCATAACTACAGTAGAGGAATTTTCAGAAGTGGGCACTAAAATGCAGAATCACATTCCTTTTTTATTTTCCTGCCAGCTGCTTAGGATAATGTAATCTGCTTGGCTAGTGGTGCTGGGGAAGAAAAGTGGTACACTCCAAACAGATAGAAATGACAGTGTGGGTGCCATATTGCCCAGGTGTCCTGGCATTGAGTAAGAAAACTGTGTCCCAGACTGAGGCTACATCAGCCATATCAGGTGGAGCCAGCTAGTGAAAACCTAAAGGTTCAGCAGTAACATTTTCAGATGTGTAGGCTCCACAGTGGTGTTCACGGATGTCATTCATAGTGCGAGGGGGCATCTGTATCCCACAGCCATGAATGGCTGCCCTTGCTCCAACATTGTATGGTGGGGAATAGAAAGCCTTAGACACGCTCTTTTAGAACATCAGCTTTGAGGATCAGGATCTCTTTTGCTTTTCTCCAAGATCCACATGGTGGTAGGTGTTGGTCCAAGGGCTTTCCCTACAAGAAGGATCTGAAACAGGCCAGGCTTTAAATTCATCATAAATTCATCATGGGGGACGTTTTAGAGCCTGGTGGTGCATGTTCATCAGACTGGTGGGAATGTAGTATCGGAGATTTTACTGTTCTGTGTATGGCCATAGGGTCCCAGTTTAAGATGTGCCCTTGGTCTGGACATTAATCCTTTGTGGATTGAGTGCTGATTGAAAAAGGATAGAAGAATGGAGGGCCAGGGGAGCTTGCAGCCATTGGAGACAGGAATTTATGACTGGAGCATGGATCTCCCGTTAGAATCAGTAAAGGCAAAATGAGGTCATTTTCTTATGGGTGAGGGGCCCGCCCATAGGAGCAGGGATCAAGGGAGATAAAAGTAGTAAAAGAAAACCGATTTGGGAAACCACATGCTGTTTTGTAGCTTTAAGGAAAAAAAAAAAAGAAGCCAACTCTGTAGACATCTTCAGAGTTAAGTTTTATAACAAAAACTGTTTGAATAATCAGACCTTTACATTCCTGAAGATAAAATAAACATGTAATCTTTTATCTTTTCTTGCTCAATAAAATTGTTCAGAAGATCAAAAGTGGTAAAGACAATGTAAAATTTAACATTTTCACACTGACATTGTACACTGTTTTACTTAACATTTTGGGGAGTATCTGCCTCTGACTTCAACTCAAGAAAACACTTTTTGTTGCTAATGTAATCGGTGTTTGTAATGGCGTCAGCAAATTAAGCGATGCTTATTATTAAAATAAAAAAAGATGCACTATCGCCAAGTCCATGGTAGCACATGGGAGAGGTGAACCAGGAATAGACAGGGGTCCTGCCCACCATGACTGGAATGTGTGAGCGGCCCAGGGAACCTGGGGTAAGGGCCCATCTCAATCTGTTCGTCACTGGGAGTGTGGTTAGGCATTTTTCCTCAGTCATGCTGCTGAGACTGACAAAGTGCACCCAGCTGTCTCCCCTAGGATTAAATATTTCTGGGAGAGCAGTAGAATATGGCTAGAAAAGGTGAATGTAGCCTCATATTGGAGGTGGTTTTGAATGTCAGTCTCTAAGACTATGAATTTAATGAGCCATTAGTCCTTTGCAGAATTTTGAGCAGGAGAAGGGATGTGACTGGATTGCACTGGGGCTGGACTGGGGTGGGAGAGGCAGGCGGTGTCTTTGCTGTTTTCCTCTCCCTGGAATCTTATTCTCCAGATACAGGTTCTCCTTATTAGAAAGGCCTCCCTTCATCCCCAGAAGAAGACACTGGTAACCCTGACTGCCCACTTCCTTTCCCCACAGCAGATGCACCATCCAACCCCTATCTGTTAACCGGCTTATTTGTTTAGTGTCGGTCTCTCCCTCTCTAGTTTGCAGGTACCATTCAGGCAAAAGCAGTGTTTGTTTTGGTCACATATATGTATCTCCGGGGCCTAGAATAGGTCCCGCCATGTCTTAGGCGCCCTAAGGTGAATAGGTGAATAGAGTGTATTATTGCCTCATTTGATGAAAGGGGAAATTGATGCCCAAGAGAGGTAAGCAACTTGTCCAGATAAGACAGCTAGTGGTTGCCAGAGTCAAGATTTGAGTCCGGAAAAGCCTGATTACAGAGACTGATCTTCCTATAGGGTACAATACTCTGGAGGAAATTTAGACCATTGTAACTGAGAAAAAGGGTCTTTAATAAACTGAAATGGGAACCTCGACAGAAGAGGGTTAGGTGGTGACGGAGGAGAGATGACAAATCCACTTGACTCCATGCTCCTTGGAGTCCGGGAGGATAGGAGAGTCCTTGGATACCCATCTGAGCATGCCGTGCCAGGCACAGTGCTGGATGCTAAGGATTTAAAAGTAAACAAGACGCAGTCCCCACCTTGAGGAGCTCACCTTGCAGGGGTGGTGTGTCGAGGGCACACTTACGGAATTCAGGGAGCGGGAGGCATCCCCGAGCCCCCACACAGCATCAAATGGGCATGCTGCCGGGCTCCCTTAGCCAGGCACTGGCTGAGCAGCAGCGTCTTATGGTCCTGTTCATCTGCTCAGTAGAGTCACTGAACACGTGGGTTGTACCAGATGAAGTGGTGATATTACAGATACAGAGGTGGGTTAGGCAAGGGTCCATTCTCAGGCGCATACAGAAGCAAGAGGTGGCAAAGCTTCACTCTGATTCATTCACCAGCTAGAAAACAAGTGCCACCCATGTGCCAAACACCGCTAGACTCTGAGGATAAAACAGTGAACCAAGTAGTTAATACCTCTATACTCAAGGAATTTACAAGGGGTACGAAATTGTATGTGGTATTATTGTTACTATTATTAATAACAGCAACGACTGGCAAGGGCTAAGTGCCAACTGCTGTCAAAGCACTTATGTGATTTATCTCACATATTCCTCACAATGACCCTATGGCTACCCCAATATTACAGAGGGAGAAACTGAAGCTGCCATCTCCCTAAAGTCTGTGATTTTCTGGGAGCAAAAGGAGAGCGTACTAACTGTGATGAAGTCAGAAAAGGTTTTACAGGATTTTTCAGAGGGCCTCTAAGGACGTATGAGTATCCTCGAAGCAGAAACAGTGGGGCAAGAATCTGGAATAGTGAAAGCGTAATACCTGCTTCAAAGGGGAGTTGAGAGAAACCAACACAATAAGATATGTAAAACCTGAGCCCCGTGCCTGGCAAGAAGTAGATGTTCTCAAATGTTTGCTCCCCTTCAGGTCCCCTGTGGTGGCAGGAACACGTGATCACTCTCTCCATGCCCTTGGATTTTTAGAAGACAGAAGTCATCATGCCCGTGGAGGTCACTCCAGGACGATCTCTGCCCTCAATTCAGAGTTGGAATGTTTGTGATTGCCAGCCAGGGCAGCTCTTCATTGTATGAGGTCGTTGTGCAAACACACACACACACACACACACACACAGGGTTGCTGGGGAGTTTGTGGTAAACACCAGCCTCTCTCTTGGATCAAAATAACTGAGTGGTCTTTGTGGCTGGTCTAGAGGAACACATTACATGAGTAAATTAGCAGTTCCCCCACAACATGCGCGACCACGGGGCGCGCGCACACACAGAGAATGCCTGACTCACCGTGGGGCCTCTCTAAGTCACAGCCCATGAATAGATGCTCTTCCTTCCTCCCAGAGAGAAGCCAGGGTACCAAATACACCAGACAAGCTTAAAGGCTCGTCCCTGCTATGGAACAGTTTTATTTTATAAGACAAATCTAACGATCACTTCTTCTGGCTCCTGGAAGAAGAAAGAAACCGTTCCCTCTCGATACTGTGCCCATCGGAGAGTTAATCAAGCCTACTTGCCGGCCGATGATGTAATCCTGGTGACTTCCCCAATCAGCTCTGGGCTGCCTGCCCCCCAGACGCCTTCCCAGCTAATTGCCCTGCTTCGAACCTGTTCCTTCTCGGGAGGCTCTGGCACCCGAGCGCCTGGGGCCTGTGCTACCTCCTGTCTCTGCCAGGATGCCCGCAGGCCCTGGTGGACAGCCAGGCCCCCTCCACGGCCTGGGGCTGAGGGGGTATTTGCTTGCCACTTCTGCTTGGGGCCAGTGGTTCTTCTGCAACGGGCGTGCAAGCCCACGGCTCAGAGGCTGGGCTTGTGGGCCGCCTGGGTGTCTGTCTGACCGGATGGAGCGTGGTTCTCGCCGTGAGCTCTCACACCACGGGTGCTCTGCATGACACCCCTGTGTCTTCAGGGCAGGGCCACTACAGACAGCAAGTGCCTGATGGCTCACGTCCTAATTCAGACCCTCCTTCTCTGCCTCAGAAACTGGAGAAGACTCATGATTACAGCTTTGAACCAGCTCCAACAGACCCTCTGATTCCAAGAAGCCATCCTTGACCCGGTGCCTGCCTAGCACCCTCCCCCTCCTAGGGCTCCTCCTGTTGCTCTTCTCCCGTGCACCGCCGGCTGGTATTTACTTCTCCCTCAGAGTCAGACACAGCTGAACATCTAAGCACACTCGCTCAATGGAGCACCGTATTATTCCAGTACAGGGATGCTGCAGGCTATACTAGAAAGTTCAGAGGCTCAACACAGGCTTAGATCTGAAGTCTGGCTCAGCCACTTACTAGCTGGACCAATTCAGATAAGGCGCATGGTCTCTCAGAACCTCAGCACCCTCATTTCTGAAACAGGGACAACGGTCCCCACCTTGCAAGGCTGTCGGGTGGATTAAACGAGATAAGGCAAGGAGAAAGAGCTTGTGTGAGTGCCAATACTGCAAGACCCATGCAGGACTGTCTCAGCCAGCAGTCATTTCAGTGTATGGATTTGATCAGCTCTTCATTAGATGTGAAATTCTAACTTGGCTCTTCCTTTGAACCCCTCGGGGCCTGGCACATGTGTGTGTGTGTGTGTCTGTATGCACTCAGTTGCTCAGTCTTGTCTGACTCTTTGGAACCCCATGGACTATAGTCCACCAAGCTCCTCTGTTCATGAGATTCTCCAGGCAAGAATACTGAAGTGGGTTGCCATTGCCTTTTCCAGGGGATCTTCCTGACCCAGGGATCAAACCCAGGTCTCTCTCATTGCAGGCAGATTCTTTACTAGCTGAGCCATCAAGGATAGGCAAACAGAAGTAACTCATAAATAGCTGTTTGTATTGGCTGTATATTGATAAAAGAGACTCCTGACTCCTACCTCTCCTTTGTCTTTTTTTTTTTTTTAGCTGTGCTAGATCTTAGTTGGGACACCAGGGGTCTATTTGTGGCATGCAAGATCTAGTTCCCTGACCAGGGATTGAACCCGGGCTCCCTGCATTGGGCACATGGAGTTTAAGTCACTGGGCCACCAAGGAAGTCCCCTTGCCTCCCTTTGTCTTCACCACAAGGCTCCTATTAGCAGCTCTCCAAACCCGGTCTCTTTGGTCCTGGGCTTTGGGGCCACATCAGGCTCTCCTTTCTTTGTGCCCCAGTGAGCTCACCAGCTTCTGAGGTCTGGTTTCCACGCTGTTTCATCCCTGAAATGGCTACTTCCCCACAAGAGACACGAGAGTCATCTGCCTCCCCAACCTTTGTCATCTGTCTGCTGGGCCAGGCCCTACCCCATGTTGACAGCTCACCAGGCCTCACCCTCCAAGTCTCTTCTGAGCATAAGCAGCCCAGTCTGGTCCAAAGATAACCTTTTATAGGTGACGGTACCTCCTACCATCCAATTAGGAGCTTGTCAAATACCTGGGCCATCACTCTTCCTGCAGCGACTGACAACACAGGTGCTCACCAAGGCTGCTGTGGGAGAGTGGAGTAAAATTATTTTGGTGGTGGAGGTGATGCTGAGCACATGAGTTGGAATCTAGGTGAATCTGAATCTAGTCCAGCCTCCTTGTTCTGTGAACAGATGCCTCATCCTCTTTGGATCTGCAGCAATAAGCACAGCCCTTGGCATAGAGTAGGCACTCAATAAATAAACACAGGGGAATTGAAAAGACCAAGAACACATTTTTCAAACTAGCAGGCTCCCTTTCTCAATGCCTGTTGATGTCCAACTCATTTCTCTTGCAAATAAAAAATTTCTTTTGCAAATAAAGTTAGCTCACGACTAATCTCTCATAATCTTTCCTTTCCTTTAATTCTGTGGTTGAAAATAAACTTACACCTGAAAAGAAAGAGATCTGATCCCTTCTTCTCTCCTCTTTCATCTTCTCTTAATCTTAGGATCATGGCCAGGCTCTCAGAAACTCAGGGCCATTTTCAGAAACTAGCACTGATGAAGGAAATATGACACAATCAAACATTTTTCTTATCTGGCAGTGTGGTCTGGTGGTTTGCACAGAGGCTCTGCAAGTCGGAAGTCTGGCTTTCTATTTCTGGGGCTTAAGGGAAACCATGTAACAGCAGTCTTTGCAGCACTCACTCTTGCTTTCTCTTTCTCTTGTTCCCTGTAATGAGTCCGAAAGGGAATGGCTTCAGCCACAGCAGTTAGTATTTCAACCAAGAAAGGAAGCGTACCACCCTGCTGGCCCCTGCTTCAGCCTTGGTTGAGGCTGTGAGGGTTAGTGGTGAACAGATGAAAGATAATCCAGAGAAATAGAAAGTGAGGGTGATGTACCCCAGAGTGGTTTGGGGCTGAGAGTCTGAAGACACCGTGATGACTGGCTTAACCACATCAAACTAAACCTTTACTCTTGCTGCAACCCAAAAGCCTGAAATTGCCAGGGCTCTCAGGGTGGGTGGGGTGGGGATCTTATTCGGCTAAGGAGCACCCTGTGTGCCTGGAAAAGGAGATGGGAAATCACTGGATTTGCCTTCCAGGGAGTAATTTCAGAAGTGAGGAAATGGGGAACTACTTTGAACTGAAGTAGAAAAATGGGAAGAGAGAGGGAGAAAGATCCAAAAAAGAGGGGATATATGTATATATATACATGTATAGTTGATTTATTTTGCTGTACTGTAGAAACTAACAACATTGAGAACAATCATAAGCCAATAAAAACAAAAAAAAAAAAAAAAGAAGAAGAAAAGAACCAAAGTGACAACGAATCTAATGAAACCAGAAAGGAACAAAAAGAGGCAGGAATTAAAATGAGATCCTCGGAGGGCAGAAGACTCCGAGGACACACTTTATTGCTGGCCTAGGAGAATTTACACGGTGGCTTGTGAAGGGCCTCCTGAAAGGGTATTTGTGTCAAACCAGCCTAACAGAGATAGAGGCATAAATTTCCTAGGAATTCTACTATACCCGAAACTTCGAAGTACTTCAAGTTTTGAACAGCCTGAACCTTGATAGAGAACTTTCAGCCTTTGATGGATCAAATTCTCCCACTGTAACTATGCGAGTTCTGGGACTGTATCTAGAAAGAATAGGGCCAGTTGGGGAAAAATAGTCATTTAACATGCCATTTCCTTCCTCATTTCTACTCCGCTGATCTTTAGGTCTCAATTCCTGCTACTGTAGTTGTTGTTTTAACAACCAGGAAGCTTTGAGACCTTTTGGGTTATCTTTAGAGTAACACCCTGCAGAACGTTTTAGGCTGAGCCTTGGGCTGGGCGATCAGATGGCATTTGCCATGGGCTTATTGCTTTGAGGTTCTCTCTACCGGGATGGTTCAAACATTATATTTTCCCAGTTAGTTATATGTGCATTTTGCAAAGTCTCAGACTATGGTGGGAATATGTTGTTTTATGAGCTCCCAGTGGTAACACACAGAGAAGGAGGCTGTTTTGTGTGCTTTGGGGGTGCTTTAAGGAAAAAAAAAATCTCTCCGCAGAGGCAACACTAAGCAAAGGATGCTGTAGGTTAGAAAAAACCTTAATTTGAATTCTGACTCAGCCCTTTACACACAAGCCACTCACTCACTGAATCTCCATTGTTCGTCTATAAATGGGGATTATAAAGCCCTCTTCAGGCTGTTGTGAGGATTTAGTAAGACATAGAATTGGTATAATTTCTGGCACAGAGTAAGTGGTAATTTATTGCCCCTGTATACAACCTGTGACTTAATTTTTAAAAATTAAAAAAGGGTTTTCACTGTGGAGATTTCTCTCTAGTGTATTGATGTTTATGGAGAAAAAGCTTTTAGATGGCAAAGGCTTTCAAATTGGTATGGGCTTCCCTGGTGTCTCAGATGGTAAGGAATCTCCCTGCAATGTGGGAGACTTGGGTTTGATCCTGGGTTGGGAATATCCCCTGGAGAAGAAACTGGAAACCCACTCAAGTACTCTTGCTGGGATAATGCTATGGACAGAGGAGCCTGGTGGACTACAGTCCACGGGTTCACAAAGAGCTGGGCTTGTATAACCTCATTTTTGTACAGTGATCAAATCAGCAATAACTCCCATGTGAAGTGGAGTTGAGCAAGGTCCCTGCACTGCTCTAGAAGACAGCAGCAAAGAAAGAGCAAAGCGCTTGTGTCATTTTGATTCCAATGTGTTACCACCTTTGTGTATCAGATAACATAGCTTAAGCTGGGTCCAGACATGTTGGAACCAGACTGGAGGACCCGTGAGGCAGGGAGGTACCATCCCTGCCCCAGGATCCAATTACCTGCAGGACTAAGCTGCTTCTCAGAAGATGACTTGTTTCAGGGAGAGGCAAAGTTAAGAGATATTTGTCCAATTCAAGGACAAGGGGTAACAGTGGAGAGAGGGCAGAATTGTTTCTGAT